GCGGAGACTGAAGGCGACGGGGAGGCGGAGGCCGGTGCGTCTGCGAAGAAGAACCGCATCCAGGTGTCCACCAACAAGAAGCCGCTCTATTTCTACGTCAATCTCGCCAAGGTTTGCCTCTACTGTTCACAGACACGTAGACATGCGTGGTCATATCATGCAACTCATAGTATAGTGTCGTCAAGCAAGGATGATTAACATTTCTGATTTGTATCAAGATAAATTTCTCACCCGGGGTACCTACATATATATACCGAGATAAATAAACAACAATATATACTTATAAATAGCAATGCTTGGATAAGAATTTTCCACATGTTTTACAGTTTTTGTTTCTCCAAAGCCGAATCTACTGTCGAATTGCTTTGTGTGAAATAACTCATGTGCTAAAAAATGCGGATAGTTCACATGGCGCACACACTGGGATCCCTCAATAGGATTTCAATTGTAGTATATAAAGCTTGAGGTCTCTAAATTAAAGCATGTGAATGTTGAGTGCAGAGGTACATGCAGAACTACGACGAGGTTGAACTCTCTGCTCTGGGGATGGGTAAATCTATTCAATTCCTATGCTACTCAATCACCTCCCCAATATTCTTTCATTCCCAGATGACGCATTACATTGTTTCTCTGAGGCATCAAATCCGGCCTTTTTGGTTGCAGCCATTGGTACCGTCGTGACTGTCGCCGAGATCCTCAAGAACAATGGCCTCGCCACTGAAAAGAGTAAGGCGTCGTCATACTCATACCTATATGATTACCCTCTGAATCTTGAAGCTTTAGTTTTCGTCCCACATGTATGTTTCACATTCTTTTCTATCGATCGATCCTTTCTAGAGATCCTGACATCAACCATCGGCACCAAAGACGAGTCCAAGGGCAGGCTTGTCCGTAAAGCCAAGGTGGCATATGACATCTCGCTTCCAAACACCCCCCCTCCCTCTTTCCTTCTGAACTCACTCAAGATCCCAGCTAGATCCAAATGTGTAAAATAAACGACACCATTTTGATCACATGTGTATTTTCCTTTTCGGTTTCAGATTGAGATTCTGCTGTGCAAATCAGAGAATTTCAACAGCATCATGTCTAGCAAGAAATCTGACCGCCTGAAATCCGCCGAGGAAGAGATCAAGGTGTGATCGATCTGATCAATTTCTCCAGCCGTTCTCAGCAGGGGCCTCCTCCTGTTCCATTTCCAGAGGTTGGCAGCTCACCACAGCTTGGATTGATTGGGCACCGGCAGTCTGATTAAGTACTAGTAATCAGGGTACCTTAATTACCTTATTAGTCCTTGTTGAGATGGATCAGATCTTGTGAGTTAAGTAAAAGCATGCAAGATATATATATGTGTTCAAGTCAACGGCATCGCCACTACATTGAGATGATGATGACGATGAAACGGTTGTAGAATTTTACCAGAGGCTGGGAATATTATTTATGCATGTCTCTCTAGTTTGTTGTTGTATGTGAACAAACGCTAAAGGTTTCTGTAATTTTAATTTGCTGCTGTCGCTGGCAATTTAATTTCAGAACAACAGTTAATTAAGTTCCGCGTGCCACATTAATCTATGTAAGAAAGAAATATTGTTATATGTAAAATGGCTATCGTTAGAACTAGTTAAACATATCTAATTGTGACAAAGTTTTAGCAAAATATACTAGCATCTGCAAATTCAAATAAATGCATAGTCATAACCTTTTGCAGAGAAAAAACTAACTTTATAAATATGGACATAGTTAGAGAAATTTGACTTCGTAGCAATAACAACAAATATAATTTCACACACAAAGTACGGTGTTGTTTGATTTTTCTTGCAGTTTTTTGCCATCGTAATAAAGATCATCGGCTTATCCTCGGTAGCAGAAACCATCAGCCGAACAGTTCGTTTGTTGTGCAAACAGGCCGATTTATATGTACGGTTTTACAAATATGCAAGCATATATGTGTGCATTGCAATTGGCTAAATAATACATGCTCCCTACGTTCCAATAAAAGTGTCCTTTTAGCATTCAAAAGTTGTCGTAGAAAAAGTTTCATTTTAGGTGCGAGTCCTACGGCTACCACCCTCCACCGTAGAGTGCAAACTTATACTTTCACCTCTTCCCACCTCCCGCTCACTCGCTTGCTCAAAATAAAAGGCGCACCATCGGCATAGAGGCGGAGAGGGCAACGCGGCCGAGCACGAATTAGGTGGAGACGGAGAGATCCGGCGTTGAGGAGGAGCTAGCGGCGCGGCCAGGCGCAAAGGCGGAGACGGCCGGTGCTGAGGCGGAGCGAACGGACCCAGCACGGATCTTGCCCTTCCTCATCTTCTCCTCAACAGACACCCCCACCCCCTCTTCTATGCCGAGGTCTATCGCCCTCTTCCTCTTCTCCTCATCGACGCCCCTCCCCCCTCCTTCATCCTCAAACCTGCCAACGGAGTTCATGTGAGGGCGGGCATGGCCTGCGTGCCATCAAGGAGGCTTCCTCGCCTGGGCCTCCATGTGCAGACGCGCAGGGTCAACAGGCAGGCGTGGAGGTACGTGGTGAGAATCACAGTCGTCGGGATCTGGATCAAGAAAATGGGGAGGAGCGCGAGAGTGTCGTGCGAGGACCGAGTAATGATTAGAATATAGCGGTAAAGGTCTTTTCCCTTCATCCTTAGCGTGTGTCCAACCCTCAAACGATTGTATTTCTACTAGGATATGGGGATTGAGGGCTAACAAAGAGTAGAAAAATAAAATAAGAAATCTATTTAACAAATATCAAGGTTGGCAAAACCATCCTATATTTTAATCGAGACCCTAATTACGACAACTCTTGGCAGCTTTGGCCCTAGCTAGAGATGGAAGGAGAACAATAACCAAGAGAGGTGTTTTATCTTGAATAAAGGATAGTTCTATTTCTAATACGGCATAGCTAGCGCCCGGATGTCCTGGGACACTAGCCCTCGCTCGGACACGCGCGCCTGCTCCCGCTTCCCACGGCACCGCTATCTCGCTACGCATGCCCACATACCGTCAGCTACGCATGTTGCTCACCTGCTGCTGCTATATGCATGCTACACATGTTGCTACACCTACGCTGTTCCGCTCGCATGCTCTCTGCATACCACGCTTATTCGCTGCGCTTTCGCTTCCGTGCTCGCTAATGAAAACACTTGCAACATAAAGCACTTGCTGCAACATACGTATGAAACAGGTGAAATATTTGGAACACACGCTTGCAACATATGTGTATATCCACTGCAACATATGCAACATCCGTGTAAAACACTTGAAACATGTCTCAAAACAGTTGAAACATTTAATACATACCCTTGCAACATACGTGTATAGCCATTGCAACATATGCAACACCAGATATACTTTTATAACATGCAGATGAAATACTTACAACATACCTCTGAAACATCTAAAACACGACACATACGTTTGCAACATACGCTTTCAATACAACATGGTGGATGGCGTGGCGAATCGGTCTTTGTGGAGGCCTTGCGAGACGGCCACGACATGTGGGGCGTTCAAGCGGCTGTATGCGAATCCACGCTGGTGGGAGCGAGCAATGGCAGCAGAAAGCAGGCAGGACATGCAGAGTAGTCTGTCTTGACGAACGTAATGCCCGCTTCAGTAGCATTATCGTTCTAAATAAGGTGTAGGGATGTTTTCTACTCTCTCTTTTTAGGGCCCCTTTGGAATGGAGTTGAAATAAAGGAAAAACATAGGATTGAGATTCCATAGGATTAAAATATTGTAGCAGCCTTTGGTTTGTAGGAATTGCTCATAGGAATTCTAAAGGAAACTTTCCTTTCCCTTCAATTCCATAGAAAAACAATCCACTTTAGACCTCATGGAAAAATCCCTATGCACAAGGAACAAGGCAAACAATGGATTTATTGGACCAGCTTGTGTCTAATCAAGAGAGTGGAATAGAAATAATTAGGTTGATTTAGAAAGCAATCACTATTTGCTCCTTAAAAATCAATTAAGATTCATGTATTTCTCGTTTGCCTATCAAACACCTAGCTATGAAAATTTCATATGTTTTCGATTCCTTTGTTTTGCACTTGCATTCCTATTCTATTCCTATGTTTTCCCTTTTCATGTGTTTTATCATTCCTGCAATCCAAAGGAGGCCTTAAGTTGTAATTGTAAGTCGTTCTAGTTTTTCAAGGTACATAGCTTTTATTACGTATCTAGATATACATGAAGTATATTTCTAAATAGTCAATCAATCTCTTGACCTAGCCATGTTGGTTTCAATCGGTCTTACTGAGTCTCTCTTTAGTTCGTTGAGTTTGGATGGCTCGAGAATGTGTTGGCTCTTCTGGTAGAATGGGCTGGTTTGGGGTTGCATTTGTTTCAAAAGTTCTGTTTGACAGGGTCTCAGTATTCACTATTCAGTTTGCAATATGCGCAAGCAGAATATTAGACCAAAGGATGATGTTTCTTACAAGAAGATGGGAACAGGTACTATCTGCATATGGATGCCAAAGTTGCAACAAACAGCCTAGGCTGGAACTCAAAACTGTACTATCCGCGCAGTTATCCTTACATTTCTCAACAGCACGGAAAATTGGAACCAATACCAAACCCATTATACAATCTCTGCCCTTGTTGTTCCCACAGCTACAAGAGGTGCAAATTGAGCAATGAGTATCGGCTATAATTCTGTATACATGCCCCTACCAAAATCTTTTTCTTATGTACTAGCTTTGTTTCTACAAATTAAGCAAACACCTATCCTAGCAGGGGCCATCATACTAGACACGATGAAAAAACCAAACACATGCTTAGTTGCTTGGAAGCAAGACGGAAAAGCCTCGAAAATACCCTCGGTGCCAATAGACAGCAGCAGTAACACTGAAGGTTGACGCAGCATTGATGGGCTTGTAGGCCTCAGCACAGGCAGCAACTATACTCTACCAGCTTTCTTTCTGTCCGAAGCCTATTATCATCTAGGGCATACTGTTGTCGAGGCCTTTGTCAATGGATTGAAGCTTGATGAAGGTTTCTCAATTATAAATTTTCACGGGCTTCTCATAGGTGTGCCGATTCTGCAAACAGTATAAAAAACAAAAAGAAGACTTGCTTCTAAGGTACACAAACATGGCAGTTAATTTGAGGAACAAATGATATACCCCATCAAACCCACAAACATTCTACATGCACTCTTGCATGTAATGCATGATCATGATTACTCAGCTGCTCCCAACTTTTTTGCACCACAAATTGCTAAAGCAAATTAGCAAAGCCATTCATGTTAATATTCTAAACACCCAACAACAGATATATAGGTGGGCAAAAGATATAAGGAATCACACAAGCGCTGGCCTTCCGAGAGTAAAGCTACAATGACACATATAAACATAACCAGGAATAGAGTTCATGGACACATCAAACATATATTTCACTCATTTCGCAACAGAATAGCATTGCCTACCTGATTGGCTGTGTAAGACCTTTTCGATGTTGTATCAGTGTGCTCCAAGCCAAGGTATTGTTCCCAAGCACCATATACATCTCTCCTCTGTATTATAAAAAGCAAAGCATCATGTATGAACATAGTGAACAAAATAAGGTATGCATTTAAGCATACAGATGAAATCACTTGCCTGAAAACGTGCTGATACAACATCAGTGTCCTGGAGGTACTCTGGCCGGTTCATGGATATGAATGCAAGCTTCCACTGATCAAATAAACATTATCAGTGTTAGAGATGCATAGCAGTATGGATTGCTGGGATGAGAATGTTATAGTTTGCTAGAAATCTGGTATAAAGTAGTTAGGCATGAAGTTGCCAGAATTATGGCTCATCAATCCCACGTATAAACCTTCACATAAAGACAAGAATGGCTGGATTGAGGCTTAAAAGGTCAGCCCACCTACCAAGGTGCTCGCTTTTCAAAAGGCGCTCAATATCTTCTCTTGAAAGACAAATTCCAGCACCCATTCCTATCAACTAATAATGTTGTATTTTTCCACTCCAAATTATAAACGTTTTGGCTTTCCAAGATACATTACTTTTACTATGTATCTAGACATAGTGTATATATCTAAATACATAGCAAAAGCTATGAATCTAGAAATGCCAAAACATCTTATAATTTGGAATGGGAGTAATAACTAGAGAAACTAAGCCCTTGACATGATTTTTGCACAGTGCACACGCAAGGTGGCAGAGAGGTTTGCAACAATAATTTAGTTTCATTTCAGTGCCTCAGCTGGTCAAGCATGTGCATGACAGGAAGGGGCCAAAGCATATGGCCCTGACAGGAAGGGGGCAGAATGGCAAAAGGCAAAAGCTAAGACGGCAATTCCCGAGGGGCAGCAAGACCACTAGGTAGACAGAACTAATGGATAACTGTTGGATAGCAGTAAAACTTGGCAACCAAAATAAATTAACCCCATATTTGGTTGGAGCAATAAACAGATTACATTCAGCCCACGCTGTACCATTCTATAATAAATAGTAATAATATAAGGATATATTACCTTGGAGAACTCATCAGGAACTCTAAGTTTTCTCTGGATGCGCTCCATTACCTCTGCAGCAGTCTCACCTTCACGGATAACCATCAAAAAAGGATCTCCAAAATTCTGAATTTGCTGATTCTGATTAGGGTCTTTCATGAAATGGTAAACATGAATCAATCGATCATGTGGGCCGAGATTCTTCTCTTCCTCTGGGATCTGTTTCAAAATTGACAGAAGCAGTGTCATGCAAGACAACTTTACATAAGTATCACAGACAATTTTCTCATCTACGTAAATATAATTGTATTTTTCAATAGAATAGATCAAAGGGTCAACATCAAGAAAATGAAATAATACGAACCTCCTCAGCTCGTAATGTCCAGTACTGATCATTTATGTTCTCTATCTTCTCATGAGGCGGAAAGATCTGCAGAAAATAATTATATCATCCTAACAATGCCAAATTTAAGGAAAAAACGTAACACTAATTTTAGAAAGAAGTTAAGAAATTCTAGAACATTGCATTAGAAAGAGCCAGGACTCTTCATATGGGAAATACTTCACATAAACCATGCACGAACCTTATAAATCTTATGGTAAAATACTTCAAGCAAGCGGAGCTCAGCATCAGGATTAGATAGTTCAACCTGTTGAACATTAAAATGAGAATTATAGACATGCTTCAAACTAAGAAAAAAGGATACTATAGTAAATAGGTATAGTTATTATGCAGCAAACCAACAGAAACATCATATTCAAATTCAATTCAATTAAAATTCAGGAGAAACTCTGGGTAAACTGAAAGACAGATTTGTGATCACCTTGGTTTTCAAATCAGTAATCACGTCACTGATAGTGCTATTTCTTGGAAGTCTTATGCTATGAATGACAACCTGACAAATCATGTGCCTCAGTGACATAACTTAGGAATAAAATATGAGCATAGGAACTAGTGACAAACATGACACGAACCTCGTCTTTTGTTGCATGGTGGAATGCAACTTTAAGTGTTTTCAAACACTGCAATTCTGGCAGTGGAATGTCCAGAACCTCATAATACAAGATATCAGAAGTCTGGAATGAAGCAAAAGTAGCATAAATCACTGTCATGTTTTCAAATGCAGTAATGCACTTAATGAATAAACAAAGAAAGAGAATTCAACCTGATTATAATGAACAAGCATATCCAGTAGATGTTCTACTCCCCTATATCTAATAGGCTGTGGTTTAGGTTGCTGAGAATAACAATTGTGAGATGTAAGACGGATCTTTGAGGGATCATCCAACCCAAGTTGATGTGCAATTCTCTCAACAACATCATCATAAGTATGAAGCTTTGACCTACGTGAAAACAAGAAACACATATATGTAAGTTGATTCAAAACTATAGTTCAAATGTAAAACCAGTTTATCAGTTTGATTTGCAATCCCTTACAATTCTAAAGAAAAATCATCCTCCTTTGGTTTGTCCAGAGACCGAAAGTGCACAACCTAAAGTACAAACAACACAAAAGTTACAAGTGAACTCAGTAACAGTAAATTAGTTTACACTTCACAGAAACAGCAAGCATAACTATGCTTTCATAGTAAAACAAATCAGAAATAAAAAAATTTATCATTACAAAGCAACGATTTACGAGAAACTATTTTACATAGAAAACATAGTTATGGTTTTGACAAAGTTATTTTACATTTACATAGTTATTTTACATGTCAAGGTAATTTGGTTTTTGGTCCTCCGAATATATTAATTTCATAAAAGGTGTTAGGACTTGGGAAGCTCATGCTCACCACTTAATACGTAAATGAAGGTGGAGAGAACAGTATGTCAAAAACACAGTGAAATAAGAGGAATAGTACAGCAGAGTTTGGTAAACAATGAGATAAGTTGAAAACGTTAGTACTGATTTGTATCCAAGTATACCTGCCTATTGTGAACATACTCCAAGAATGAAGGAACATCTGGATAGCGCACTTGTGTATCACCATCTGGAACAGGAGCCTTTTGGAAACAGATGATGTCTCCATCTTCAAGCTAAAGCATAAGAAAACAAATTCAAAAACAAAATAATCAACGAATGCCTTTGTTGACCATAGATCTAAAAAATGTCAGTAGTTAGCCTAGTGTCCATGTTTTCCAGTTACCTACTATAGCTATTTACTATTCACTGTCATGTAATTTTTCAGGTTCCTTGGCAACCAAGTTGATCATGGTGCCTTGGCAACCAAGTAGGAATCATAGCATCTGCTTTATGCAGTTAGAATATGCTAAGGAGTAGGTACACCACTTGCTTATATATGCAGTGGTTAGCATCTTTTGTATCCAAGTTGTTATTGCAATTCAATACAATCCAAGCGGCCTGCTAGCCAAGCTGCCCTCTGGCAGCCCCAATTCGCCAACAAAAAAAATATTTGCATCTAAAAAGAGAAAATTCACAAACCTGACTAGAACGGAAAGTAAGTTTCTTGTCAATATGTTCACACATCACATTTGGCTCAAACTTAATTTCCTGCAGAATAAGAATGTCAAAAGCAACAGAATATTCAACTTTGGAAGATCATCAGGACAGCATTATTAAGTGCACAACATTGTACTAAATTAAAATTAACCATTGCGCAAGATACACTCGAACAATCAAGGACTTGAACAGATTGTATGAGCACAAGAAGCACATAGGCCGAACATGCATACTGTAAGTTAGAATGTGAACTCTAGAGAAATAAATACAGAATTGTGAAGCACCTCATATAGCTCAATTTCTTCATTTGGAGAAAATCCTGCCATTTCATTCAGTTTTGTCAATATTTCAGATGGCTTTCCCAGAGCCTTCACAAAAAGCCTACCGACAAAACTGTAATAGCAGCGCGATGTCACCATGTGAGTCATCTGTAATAAAAGTTCAACAGAATGATTGACAAATATATTAACAAGAAACATACCGAAGCTCTTCCTTCTCAGCATTATAAAGCTTGAAGAAAAGAAGTATGTCTTCTTTGCTCTTCTCAGATGGACGAATTGGACATAACTCCTACGTAAGTAATAATTAGAAACAACCAAGCATCTCAAAATCTAGAAGGCATAAAAAAGAGGGAAAATAGGAGAATAAATAAACAATATTTACTGGTCCAAGTTCAACTTCCAGAAACAACTTCAGCTCAGCATTGTGTGCCTTATTTGAGACTTCCCTAAGCTGCCCAACCTGTGCAATAAAAGAAAATAAATTGAAATGACAAATGGATTGACACAAATTAAAGAAGTAAAAGGCTAGGATATGATGCATATTATTTTTCACTATTTTTGAAATATTGCCACATAAATACATCCTTATTGTCTACTGCAATAATACTAGTATTCTACATTCAAGAAATTCAACCAAACTGATAGATCAAGAGTTCAAATAAACTAATGCTACATGTTACATGTAAGCAAATCTCAAACGCTAAGAAATGCACACAAATTCACTTGTCCTCAAATTGCAAGTGACATGTGAGGTAGAACTTGCAAGTGATATTGGACAATAAAAGACACCTTTTCCACGTAAAAAGAATGTCAAAAGGGAGCACAAAGTTAAAAAGAAAGGATAAATAAAGCAAATGAAAATAAAACTTAACACTAGTTGAACTTCAAACGTGATGAACCAAGTGGTATTCCACATATTTAAGTACTTGATTGAAGTATTATAAGTGTGAACTTCTAAAACAACAAATGACTTACTGATTGTGCTTCCTCATGGGGGTCAATGGACGATTCGGCCGGTATGTATGGTTCTGCCTCTTAGCCCACAACCAGAAGCGCTGAAACTGTACAGGGATGCCAAATTCCTTTGCAACTTCCTCCTGAACAATTCATTTGAAAATCAAATGAGACTACCAAAATCAAATGGTGTGTAATGAAAACAAACTGCTATAGCTTTGATGCAGAGTATAGAGCACAACTAGAAAATTAAAGAAATCTGGAATGCGGTAAATGGAATGTTCCAAAATGGTAATGAAAACAATTAATCAGCCAGACCATAAAGCAAGTTTGCTGACTATTTCTGGTAGGTGCCCGTTTTAATTTTTAAAGATAGAATTGCAACAGAAAATAACACTGCCTGGAGGGGCTTGAACTTGAGTTCAAAACCACCATAAATGTAGCAGCTTAATCCCTTGCAAATAGGCCAGTAGTATCCAAATATCATAACCATGAAGCCATGGTATGAAAAAACATGTAGGGTTTTTTAGGCCATTACCTTGAATGAAGTAAAAGGCAACTGCTTCTGAATGCGGAAGCTGCGAACTTTTTCATGGTCCACCAGGTCAAAATATATATTCTTACCAATTTGCTCCTTCAAATCCTCATCTCGAGCAATCTATTTTCATTTTTTACAAACAAAGTTCTATCAAGAGGAGTCACCAAGAGAGAAGTTAGCTGCTGGTATGACTGAAACAAGAGCAGACCTTTATGACAGTGTAGAGATGAGCTTCAGCCTTCTCCTTCTTCTTGTGCTCTTTCTCTTCTTGTTCTTTTTTCAACCTTATCTGTAAAAGAACAGTTCAATCAATCACAATCTTCAACGAAAATACTAAGATGATACAAACAAAAGGGGTAAAGTATACAAGAACTACTTACCCGCAAATGCTCAGCGATATCCTTCTCATCGACATTACACATTATTTTCTCCTTGTCACTCTCACGTATATAGACAAGCATATAGGCGTTCGAATACTTTGTGAATTTGAATGGTGTGTTATTGAAACCAGGGTTTATTTGAGGCAACTGTTCCATACAAAGAAGAAAGTTAATCCAAGTCCACAAGTAATGCATTGTACTGAATGAACATTTGTCATATAGAATGTTACCTCTTCCTCACCGCCATACTGCTCTTCAAGTGCCTTTTTAATGTCTTCTTTTGTAACCCGCTCATCATCGAATTTGTACCTGAAAACCAACCAGAAAAATTCATAGATATGGCATTTGTAAAACATTTGCAAAGATATGGTAACTGGATGGCAATGTGCTGTGCATAAGCAAAGAAAGTGATTCCATGTGCCATCTGGTTAAATAAGAGATTACTGTGAAAGAAGGCTCTTTATCACTGTGAACTGTCAGTGCAGCTGATAGAAGATGATAAAGCTAACCAACAGATTCAGAGGATTGCATTGCATGTTGACACAAGACACAAGATGGTGATAAAGCCAGCAATGAGTATGCTGAAGTTGTGAGCAGGGCTGAGTGTAAATATACACAATACCCAGTTCAATATCATGCAGCTGTATATATATATATATATATATATATATATATATATATATATATATATATATATATATATATATATATATATATATATATATATATATATATATATATATATATATATATATAGGCCCATATGTTGTATATATGAGAGACATTAAGTCTAATTGAGAGGTTATCTTCCCACAAATTATTCCAAGGTAACAGCAGCATGGAGCATTTTAAGAATCACAAATGTCTTATGCTTAAAATGCTGGGCCACAATCAAAATAATGGTGCACACTAGAAAATTATTAAGGCAAACTACCAGAAGACACATCTACCAACATGAACTGAAACTCATGAGATGGAAACGCACCACTGATCCGAGAGCGTTGGCCGAATAAAAGCATAGTAGTGACCACCATGTACTCCCCCACTATGAACAAGAACACTGAATGAAAAAGGACAGGCAACATCAGCATAGAAAAAATGGATCATTTTTGTACGCATGCTGTCAAGATTACATGAATAATGTGAAATAAACTGTCAGAACAAAGAAGACAGCAAATTTTTTTCAAATTTGCACATTTTCTAACACAGCTTCACTATGTAGGGCAAAAGGACAATGTTGCATACATTCAATTTATTGGCCAATTTCTACACTCAGGTTCTTCTGTATTACATTAACCAGAGATCAGCGTCTAGAAAAAAGTAACTGAAACTGGGGCATCCTTTAAAGGAGAAGTGCTACACTGGTTGGAATTTCACATTTCTATATACATGGATTAGATTTTTCCATTATAGCTGTTGCATCTATATACCATTCAAAGAATTGGAACAGTTTATGACAAATAAATTACCTGTGAAGCGTATAGAGGTTTCTAATACTTCGATTTGCATCTGGAGAAAGATATTTTCCATTGTCTCTATCAAGATCAAGTTGAAGAGGGAACTCATAGCGGTCATTAATCTGCAGAAGTAGGTAGTTCATCATGAATCCTAGATAATCTTATCAACAATTTCTTAAACAAAAGACATCTAATGTTAATTGTTGAGGAAGCCACACATAGACAACAGAAAACTGAATTAGGCAAACAAGAACATGAAACAGATAATCCTAACAAAAGAAAGAACCAGAGCTACAAAAAATTGATCATGATTTTTGTCTGAATGAGGCATGTTTTATTCAGGGTAACATGTGCATATCCAAATGACGAATTTTTTATATAAAATACAAGGTGCTGGAGGTGTCAATTATCACAACTTAAAAACTACTTGCATCCTAAAGAAGCATCAAGTCACAGTCTCTATTCAAGCAGTATGGTACTGGGCTATGTGCATCAACTGAAATAACCGTCATAATGATCTATTTACTGATAACTTCGTAATTGTAAAGAAAAAACACAAAGTGTAAACAGATGTTTGCCGCTTACCACATTTTTAACATGTTCCCCAACACTCATATGAGTGACTGCACCCAAACAGAAAAAACTGGCAGTGACTAACTGGAACTAATTAGTTCTATTTTAATCCACTTCACAGCAAAGAATTAATATTGTTGGCACCAAAAAAGATTCAATAACCCCCAAAAATAGCAAAATATGTGTTATTGTGTACCAATGCGTACAAAGACTAATTGCATTGTTCCACAGTTCAAGGAGTTAGTAGCAACTGTGATTGTTGAGCGCTTAACAACAAGGAGTCAAAGATACAATCACATCAACTCTATGCAAATTCTTGCAGACCTTTTAGAGAAAGAATTGCTACATGTAACTTGAAAGAAATTACATAAATATTGCTAGAAATATTGCTAATATCAATCTAAAGCTTTACGATTTGGTCAGTGCCAAACCCTTGGCATGCCATGACAACCAGCATTTCAATTAAAAAAAAAACTATCTGCTTGAAACAATGATAAAGATGTATAGAAGTGGTTTATCATTTTGACGGTGGTAGTCAGCACGGTTCTAACCTTAACCATTGTATCTCGCATGTAATCATATTCAAAACGCTTCAGTTGAAGCTGCAAAACAGGAGGGAAATCGAGGAAGAGCACACCTTTCCTTGCATCCTGAAAACAAAATAAGATTGAAATTAAGGTACAACTATAATAACAAAAAAGGTCAGAAAAGATAATCATAACCGAACTGATAATAATCCACACAGTTTTTTTGTCCAGATGTAGCAGAGTGCTCTGAGTGTGTGTTCTGGTTCGTGTTGCACATTTTTTGTTGGCATTCAATATCATGTGTCTGGTGCTTGCTAGAGTGAATGGGAGAACTGGGGGTATCTTTCTTTGGCGAGGAGAGTTTGGAATTGCAGTAGGCACTGTGGCGCTAGATGGCTGTGTTTTTTGTTCGTAAACTGGTAACCCCAGTAAAACAGATGGTGCTGGCTAAGCTTTCTATAAAGGCCAGGCTGACGTTTAGCCTTGTTCAAAAAGAACATAAGATAATTATGACAGAATTCTGTCATTTCATTGAAATACCAGGAACTTTCCTAAAACTCTGAAAATCAGGTAATCAGCATCTACTACACCTAAATATCCAGCTACAAGGCCACTCATAGAGCAGAATTTGTGGGAACCTGTAAGCCATATCGCTCCGCATGGTATTTGTTATCACCCTCTAGACGCTCGACTTCCACATACTTATCAAATGATGCATAAACATCACGACAACCTTTCACATCAAGTTGTAGATCTGCAAGCCATGACATAGGCAACTATTATTTATATATCATAGATAAATATATGATTTTCATGCAAGTACAATTAAATGACAGAGCCTACCGTAAAATGATTCTTTTCTGCTAGATTTATAGTCCACGTTAATGCACTCGATGTAATTAATGTGGTGGCCTTCAAATAATTGTTCAATTGTTCCTTCCACAACAGTTCCCTGTGGAGAAAGAAAAGTTAATAAAAAGTAAATTGATGTATTGATAATTCAATATTGTCATATTCACCTTCATCTTATCTTCCAGTTTCTCACAAAGAACTCTGTTGAGTTCTTGCACATCATGTTGCATGAAAGAATCATAAGTATCCCATCCAAAGGATTTGGTCAACTCTTTCGTCGCTACACTGTTGTCACTATACTGGAGCTTGTAAAAAAGGCTCTGCAGGGCTAAAGGGATACTCCCAGATGGCATGTCATTCTCAGTTGTTGGCATATGATATACAGCCTATAAAAACATTTCAATAAATTGGTTCAAAATTCAGGCATTTAGAGAAACGCGTAGAACAGAACAATGATTGATCTCACCTTTCTAAAATATGGTGTATGGTATAACGTTTGAAGGAGAGAGTTCATATAACAGGTAGCACCTTGATTCTTAAGACCTACAAAACCTGTTTCTTTTTTCGAGTCATAAGTCCAATAATCCACCATTCTGCGGACAGCAACCTCAGCTTCTACAACAACGGTGTCATTCACAAGATAGCCCCTGCTTGGGTCATATAGGTCACCCAAAGGCATAAATGATGTGAAACCCCAGTCGCTCTCGCGTGCATTAAATTGGTGCTGGGTATCTGCCAAACATGGGACCAACATATAGATTCAACCAAAAGAAATATTCCAGAAATAGTGAGAAACTCAATGTAACTAAAGGAAAAAAATGTAAAGGTGTTATAATAACATATAAAAATGCCAGATTGAAGGAATTAATGAAAAAAAAGGTTGGCAATCAAACCCTTGTCAGATAATAATTCTAGTATTTATACATCACTTGATAGACTATTAGCAACTGAACCGAAGGTTAGCTTCAAGCAACTGTGAGTTGGTAACTGAGCAGAAAAGTTCAAAGTAAGAAACAAACTGTTAGGAGTTTTTGGGAAATCTAAATAAGCACAACTGCAATCAACACAGTTTTGAGAAATGACTGTTTATGAGGCAGCAATGTGGGTCCGGTACTCCTGTCCAGACATGTTTGCAAGTTTCAAATGGCATGCATTGGACTCTATCATCCATATCCGACATATATCATTATTGAACATATTATACCATGCACAATAACAGTGATCAACTCCGTATGTGATTGATGATCTACATACATCCTAACAAAAGGCACATTCAACAATATTAAAGCAGCTATTTGCAAAGAAATAGAAGTCAAAAGAATCTTTCACAATCGACATAATAATTATATTTTCAAGACAACAAATGTGGTAAAGCTGACAAGCACACATGAGAGTTGAGCCGCTAGCTTGAGTTGTCACTTTGCCAAAAATGAAGAGAAAAAAGAGACGCAGCTGGGAAACATCCTACAGAAATCAAGTATGAAAACCAAAAAAAAAACTTACCTAGAAGTGAATTAACACCCTTAAAATTAAAGCAACTTAAAAATAAAGATTCTATTAAACTTAAGAACTTTATGTGTCATGCATGTGCTACATATGCTTCCTACATATATCTTGATTCAGAATAACAGAGGGACAGAGCTTCACCCTTGTCTATGATTTTGCATATTAGTTGTAATTAGTTATAGGCAAATCGAATGTGCGCCTCATTTCCAGTTAACCTCATGCTAACATGATAAAAGTTTGACAATTGTCAATGATCAAATATAACTGCCAATGACCTCATCATGTTCCAGCTCAGTTGAAGACTTGTAAGTTATAGCCCCAACTTCCATGATGGAATGGCATTCACAAGACAAGCAGAAGAACATTAAATGAAGAAAGAGATACCTTTCCGAATCGTATACTTGGGGTGGATCTGATTCACAACAGCCAAGCTGAACTGAGCATACCGGCTCCACCCGTATGGGAGGTTCCCAGAATCCGCAACATCCAAATACATCGATAAGTGATCCACATTGTTCCCCTTGGGGAAAATTAGCACACGCCTGCAAGCAAAAAGTAGCACATCCATTAAAACCCACCAAGCGTTTACCCATGTTTCCGGCAGCGGTTACAGTGGCAGGAGATCCAAACGCTCACCATTTGTATCCTCCAACGACAAACACATCAGAGTAGTGCTTCTTAGTGTTAAGACGGCTGAAGCTCTCGATCGTCCAGGTGAAGCGCGACGTCTGCGGGTCCTCAGGCGGCTGGCTCTCCGCTGTGTTGGCGGGCTCTGTCTGCGCAACAACTAGCAGCAGGAACCACGACAGCAGCCACCACGTGTGAGATGAGATCAACGAGAACTAGAAACACGTAAACCCACGAGCACAAGCACAGAAGGCGCAGGAAGGCTTAGGTCCTCACCTTCCATCGGCTGTGGGGCAGCTTCCGGGCCAGCAACAGGGAGCTCCTGGTGCGGCACCAGCATCTCGTCGTCCTCCTGCTGCTGCTGCGAGGAGGGAAGAGCGCGGGCTGAGGGGTCAGATCCGGCCCGGCGCGTAAACCCTGGCGCGAACCCAAGCACCCTCGATCGGCGCGGCGGCGAGGGTGGACTGGCCGCGGAGATCGGGGCGAGCGAGCGAGCGAGTGAAGGAGAGCACGTACCTCGAGAGGGGGCGGCGTCATCATAGTCATGGGGTCGTCGTCGCCCGCGACTGCGGTGCGTGTGCGAGAGGCGGCCGCCAAGCGGCGGCGGCGACGGCGTAAGGCGGCGGGAAGAGGAGGAAGAAGAGTCGGGGGGCGAGGGCGAGGGCGAGGGCGAGGGCGGATTCGAGGCGAGGCAGGCGAGGGGAAGCTGCTGATGCGGTGAAGGGAGAACAGGTCGGTCGCGTGCTGTCGGGGGCGATTTCGTGATTTCCTGGGTCGAGTCGAGCCGGGCACGGCACAGTTCAGACAGGAGCCGAGCTCAAGAGTTTTTGGGACTCCCGACTACCGAGCTTTATCTCTTCTTCTCGACAGAGTCCACAAAACAATAGCCTTCATTTCTAGTAGCATAAAAACTCCCGACTACCGAGCTTTATCTCTTCTTCTCGACACAGTCCACAAAACAATAGCCTTCATTTCTAGTAGCATGTATAGAGACGATTTTCTTCACAATTTAGACATTGCTTAAATTCATGGTGTAAAGTTTTGGATGTCATATTGGGTATCATATAGGGTATCGCATTGAGTTTTTGGATACTAATAAAAAACAAGTTACAGAATCCGTAAGTAATCCGCGAGAATAATTTATTAATCCTAATTAATCCGCCATTAGCAGTATTTACTGTAGCACCACATCGTCAAATCAGGAGGTAATTAGGGGGTTTACTCCCTATCCATCGAATGTTTGATACATACATGGAGTATTAAATATAGACTAAAAATAACTAATTACACAGTTTACGACTAATTTGCGAGATGAATCTTTTAAGCCTAATTAATTCATGATTTGACAATGTGGTGCTACAATAAACATGTGCTAATGACGGATTAATTAGGCTTAATAAATTCTTCTCGCAGAGTACTGAGGACTTCTGTAATTTGTTTTATTATTACTATCTGAACACTCTCATGTGATATCCCGATGTGACACCCGATATGACGCCTCTAAATTTTAGCCTCTAGATTTAAACACCATCTAAGAAAGTTTTTCTTTCTTCCACCAAAATCCACAAAACAATAGGCTTCCTTTCTAGTAGTTGTAGTATACTTAATCGTTTTCCAAGAAATTTTTTTTCACAATTTAAGTTACCTTAGTGTCTCTAAGGCAGTTTTTTACTGGCGATATTTTTTTCAAATATTTAATTAAGGTAATTTGATACAAAGTCTATTAGATATCATGCTACGTGTTATCACTCTCACGACACATTGTTATTTATGCCCATGGAATGTGTGACTCATACGAGTAATGCATGCATGCAACATCTCATTACTTTACCTCTATGCGAACCACTTTTTATCGGTTACTTATGCATAATTCTTGTGCTTTCTAGAGTGTCGTATGCAATAAATGTATTCCGTTTTACCATCAGCTCTTGTGGTTAGGGGGGCAATATGACAAGTTTGATGGTAGCATTGTGTGAATCATATTCGTTAGCTACATATGAATGTTCCCCGTATGCAACAAAGGTGGTTCTACTTTTCTTGGTGTTCGTATGTCTTCCGTTTTCACAACTCATTCAGTCATTAGACACATAATGTAATGCTAATTTGTTCAATCTATTCGTTACCTAGAAGTGGTGTCATAAAGTTGATTAAATTGAATTATTTGTTGGTGTTTAAGGAAACAATTAGATTGTTGATGCATGAATCCAATGGAAATGGAATTATCTACAAGTGTTCTTAGTTCAAAAGCAAAGACATAGGCAAAAAGTCAAAATATATTTAGTATTTTACTATTTTTTTGTATATAAGGTCTTTTATCCTGACAATATTGTAAGGAAAAAGTCCATTTTTGGCCCTTCAACTATGGCAATAGTTTGGTTTTAGCCTTCCAACTTGAAAACCAGACACCCGCAGTCTCTTAACTCTCAAAACCGTTTAAAATTAGCCCCCGCGCCCATTCGACCGCGGTGTCCGCACAGTAAACCCGCCACAACCCCGCCTATCAGGCCTTTCCCTCTCATCGTCAGGTTGGGACCACCTGTCATCCCCTCCCTCTCTTCGCAGGCCCCGCATGTCAGGACTTTCCCCAACCTCCCCGCCACACGTCGTTGCCACCACGACAGCCAGCACAGGCAGCGCTAGCCATGGCTGCTACTCCTATTGCTCGTGCCATGGCTCGCTGCTCACCCGCGCGGGGCCCACGTCCTGCTGGCCGCTCCACTGCTGCCCGCCACGGTGCCACGCTTTCGTTGCTGCTCGCCGCTTGTGTGGCGCCGACGACACCTCGCCACACTCGCTTGCTTTGGCCGTGGTGCCATGCTTTACATGCTCGCCGCGCCCGCAGAGCAGAGAGGAGAGGGAGGAAGAAGAGGGAGAGAGAGGAGGCCTCATTGCCGCCCACAGGCCCCGTCCCCGCCGGGCCACTCGCCACGCCACCATGGTGCCACCTTGCCTCTTTCGCTTGCGGCGCCGACACACCCCGCCGCCACTCACCTCTACGCCGCTGGTGCCACCTTTCATTGCCGCTTCGTCGCAGAGAGCGAGAGGAGAGGGAGGAAGAAGAGGGAGCAGAGGAGGCCTCACTGCTGCCGCTGCTGCTTGGCCCGCGTCTGGCTGGCCGCTGGCTGTCTTGCCTTGCGGTGCCCGCTCGCTACTCGCCGCACTGCTGGGCGCCGACACCGCCACCACCGCTGCGGCGTCGCGTGTCGGTGTTTCGCTCACGCTCCTCCGCAGAGAGCAGAGGAGAGGAGGAGGAAGAAGAGGGAGCAGAGGAGGCCTCGCTGCTCACCCTCGCGTGCCCCGCGTCCTGCTCGTCGCTTCGGCTGCTTGCCGCCGTGGTGCCTCTGCTCGGCTGCTTTCGCCGCATGTGGCGCCGACACCTCGCTTTCATTGGATGGCCCCGCCATCGAGCTCCATTAGGCCTTCTTTGGCGACCTCCGAGCTCCGGTCTGCTTTGGGCCCCGTCGCCACGGTGCCCCTCACGCCACTCCCGGGCAAGACGCACTCAAGACTTGTAGCAGCTGTGATCGTCAGACAGGAGTTGCAGAGGCGACGGCCACACGCGTAGTCCATGGCAACGGAGGCGGTGTTCCTCCAGCGGCGTGGGCTTCTTAGTGGCGTGAGGTGCCGGCGCTCCGGCGACACCAGTCAAGGATGGCCCCCGGCGGCTGCGGCGAGTCAAGGCTAGGCGGACGGCACCTTCTGTCCGTGTGTAGTAGCAAGGGGAACAGAGGGAGTAGGGCAGAGCAGGGACGGAGGGGAAAACAGAGTAGCACGACGGCGGTGCTTGGCTGCTGCGTCAGCACCTCAGCGGTGCTCCTGGTGGCGCTCAGCGGATCTAGTCGCTGCGACGTGGGTTGGGCGAGGGCAGCTTCGGCAAGTGTGGCTCCCGCGTCCTGCGGCGCTTGCCTTCGGCGGGTCCGTGCCGTGCGTGTGCGAGCTTGAGCTCGAGCTCGAGCTTGGAGTTTCGCAGGCGAGGTCAGGTCTACGCACAGCGAGGGCAAGGGCTGCGCTGGAGCAAGCAGCCGAAGAGAAGCAAAGCTCTTTCTCAAGCTTCCTATGTCCGTCGACGGAGGTGTCAAGAGCCACGGTGGCCTCGTCGGCCTTTTATAGCTGCAAGTAAGGCGGTGGTAGTGTAGATATTTTGGGCAGCCGGAGATTTTGCCGACATGAACTGTAGCGTCCACGAGGAGCACTGGAGAGCTCGCGTGCCTGTGCTAGCCGCTGTGGTGGCAACGACGTGTGGCGGGGAGGTTGGGGAAAGGCCTGACAGGAGGGGCCTGCGAAGAGAGAGGAGAGGGATGATGGTGGTCCCAACCTAGCGATGAGAAGGAAAGGCCCGACAAAGGGGTCGTGGCGGGTTTATCTTGTGTGGATCTGCATGGTCGAATGGGCGCGAGGGCCAATTTTAAGCGGTTTTGAGAGTTAAGGACTGCAGGGTGTCTGGTTTTCAAGTTGGAGGCTAAAACCAGCTCCTACGCCATAGTTGGAGGGTCAAAACGGACTTTTTCCATATTGTAATAATCAACTTCTTTTTATGAACTAAGTATAGGTGGTAATTAGGAGGCATAGAGGTTGTCCAAATATTAGAATAAGGATTATTCCTTTGTCTAGATATATATAGGATGTCGAAAGCTTACGTTAAGCAAGGGCCCAGAACTAAGCAATAATTCTCTTTATGTCCACTTTCCTTTGCATCATTTTACATGTGGAATGAGAATGTGAGCACTTTCATTTGTCATGAATAGTTGCTAAAAATTTCATTTTGAAACCTACTATTGGAGGGTAGCCATCGCCACATTATTCATTTTAAAGAACATGTTGATTGGTGATTATTAACTACCATTTTTGGGTCCTAAAAGTATTAGCTAATTATTTGATGCAATTAAGTATAGCTATAACTAGGTAAACCAAAAGTATGAGATGGAAAAGATGGCTAAGAGTAGCACATTTTTTAATACAAATTTTATGTCTTACTGAACAACTTTCTCCCATAAATTCCTCTTTAGAACTTATGTAGTTCCCATATCATCTTGTCATCCTATGATAAAGCCACCTTAATGAGTAAGGCAAGGTAGGGCATACTATGTCAAAAATGCAACAAAAGTCTAAAAGCGTAAAGGGTCTAAAAATGCAACAAGGTAGGCGCAACAAACCAATCATAGACATAACATTGTACAACTTTCTATCTAGGTAAACCAACCAATAGCAAATTGCATTGCCTTGTCCAGGTTAAGGATATACTGCATAACCTATAATGTAATGCAATACTAATGCGAGTAACCAATCAAGCCTATAGTGATGAAGCTAACAAGTACCGTGTAGTTCGAGTTTATCGATTAAGGTGTATTCCGGTACCAATACATGAACATTAAAAGAGTTTAGATGAAAAAGTTTCTTGTTGTTATCACATAGGTAGCCAACTTTTTCTGAGTTACTAGTAGATTGTTGAAGTCTAGGGTCGATGAAAACCCGATCATCTGTCCATGTTTGAAGGCCAGCAAAAACTCCTTAAGAAAAATTTAGGGTGGCGGCTCTCCCCTGTTCGACCTTTTCTATTAGTATATATATACTTCCTAGTCACATTTTATAAACCCCCGAGAGCTCAGGGTGGGCATTAGGTTTTAACTGAAAATTCAGTTTAGTTTCTTCGGTTTTTAGAAACTTCGGTTTTTAGGAATGAGCAACCGATCGGTTAGCTATAAAATGGGGATCCAACAATTTTGGTTTCGATTTTTTTGCTTCGGTTTGGTTTAAACCAAAAAAAACGAAATTGCTCAAGGCACTTGGGGATGGCACGCCCTCGCTGTCATTGTGGCCTGCTCGCATCGCCGCTGCCCAGCTATGCTGATGGAGTCGCCATGCGCGCCGCCTGCTAGAGCTGCCGCCATGCTTGCCTGCTAGAGCTTCCGCCGTGCCACCTACTAGGCTGGAGCAGCCGTCATCACGGATCTTGCGCGGGCCGTCGTGCCGCCACCCACGCCTGCTCGCGCGGTCGCTCCACCCCTCGCGCATGCTCATGCCGCCGCTCCTGTTTGCGCTCGCGCGGTTAGGGTTGAGTGTGGGGAATAATGGAGAGGATCGAGCTGAGAGGGCGTGGGGTGGGCTGGTGGGGGCTTTGGGGGAGTGGGAGTGGAGGTGGACCGAGCCACCAAGGCTGAGGTGGGCTCTGCTTCTGGTGGCATGCTTGCACAGAGTTCGGTTGCTTCGGGTTTTCGGTTCGATTTGGCTATGAAATCGAACACCGAGCCGACTGAACTTCCAGGGACCAAAAACCGAAATCGAAAAATGAAAAAACCGGCATTTTGGTTTGGTTCAGTTCGATTTATGGGTTTTGGTGGTTTTTTGCCCAACACGTCCAAGAGCACACTGCTCTAACCAGTATAACCCTTGAGAAAGTTGGTAACCATGCGCGTTATGTATCAAATGCCAAAATAAAAGTTGTGAATTAAGTATGTCTAAGTTTTCACTATGCAATTTTGCTCTTACCCCAATTCATTGTAATGTTAATATTTGTACCCATGGTGCATAGGTAAGGTCCAGGACTCCAGGTGTGTAACATACGTTTTTGGACACGGTAGAATCAAATGAAAATACTCCCTCCGTTCCATATTATAAGTCGCTTTGACTTTTTTGGTATATCCATTTTACTATACATCTAGATATAATATATGTCTAAATACATAGAAAATTCTATATAAAAAAAAATTAAAGCGACTTATAATTTGAAATATATGGGGTACAATATATTGAAGTCACTAGCGTGTGAGCATTCGGTTCAATGGGGGTGAAATTGTGACATTTTTTCAGTAAGCTATATTTATGCCCATTGGAATACTTGCAAATGAAAAGATAGAATCACAGTGGGTTGAACAATTTTCCAAGCCCAATTTTAATTTTATTCGCAAATACTACTATATGTAACCACTCGCGTGTTACTTAGAGGATCCATTCCCCTCAGTTTGTGTAGTTTTACTTGGTCTCTTTGGCTGCAACCGTTTTGCCTGTGTTTCCACAACTTGCTTACCAAGAAAAGGCAGTATGACTTGTGTGTGCACGTATAGGGTGAGGTTAAAAACTCAAAAAAAAAAAAAAGGCTGCCAAGCAAGCAGCCTATAGAAGATTAGGGAAGGATGCTTTAGAGTTTAGATAAAAGGTTAATATCATGTTTATGGTTGTAACTTCATTCAGAGAGCTAGCTATTAGTATATGTTCATCATTCTCACAGTGCACACTTTATATCCAAATTTAGAAACACAAAATGATAGTTCGGAACTTATGAGAGTCTCTACAGTACAAGTTGCCTCAAAAGATAATTTCAAGTTTCACTTGATAGATACGTTGTCCGTAATTACCATCTCTGACAACAGCAAAGAAGCTAAAATGAGCATCTGAATATATACTATAACTCGTCTCAAAAAAAAAATCTACTATAACTGAGACCTGGAATTCGTAAAAGATTACAATTGGCGAGTCACGCTCAGAACCTGAATGTTGTACCCTTTTCTTTTTTAGATGTGTACCAATTGATATTCTGATTTATGGTAACTCACACTACACATGCATTTTTTTTTAAAAAAAAACTACACATGCAGAAGTCAAATTTGCCTTTTTCCCCCGCGAAAACCCTACAATTTTCTCCTTATGGTATTCATTCAAATCTCACCAGGGTATACAGCATCAGATTGGAATGAAAATATGAACGAGTCGTCGCGCCTGAAAGGAAACACAAGCCATTTTATTGGCTACTTATACTACATAACCAATTGGAGTGTTTGACACACATCATCTAAATATACATGGAGGGCAGGTAACTGACGTCAAGCAGCTTCGAGAACTAGAAGTGCAGCGATTCAAGTCACAGGTCAAAACATTCAAGGACCAGACCTAAC